GTTTTGTTCATGACAGGAACTGCGGTAGGGTCTACTTTTGCGTTTGACATCGCGAAGCGCTCTGGCTCGATGTCATCGCAAAGTACTAAGCGCGACCTCTGTGGGGTATTCATGGTGATTAGCCTAATGAATAACTCGTCTAACTTTGGAAAGGCGTGCTGCACTATAGGCCTACTCTTACTCAAACAAGAAGAGAGCTCCTGCGGTGGCCTGCTGTCATCCACAATATGAAGCAGCGTTCGCGCGCCTTGCGCCGCGCGATGTACTCCATACCGACAGTGGATGAGGCTTCGGCCACCAGAGCTGCATCTTCGGAGTAGCCAACGAATGCCCATCCGAAGCGACCTCATGTTGGATGCCGTGACACCAGCGGACTGTCCGAAGCGCAGGGCCGCGCGCTTTGTGTACTCTACTGCGCTGTCTGCTATTTCAATATTTGCAGTACAGTTTAGAACGTTATCAAAGAATCTTTTCTGCCCATAAGTGCCAGCTTCCTTGTCGTTCGCGTCTCTGGCCAGAATTCCGCCAACCCATATCTCGTGGCCGTTTGGTAGGGTGTACACGTGGTTCGCATCGCAATACCACACGTCACTCACATCAAACGACACTGCGCCAAAAGCGTTGGGGTCGAGTGTGGCGGAGTTCTCCTCTGTCGTCGCACTCGCAGGCCTGGCATCGCCAAGGACTGCCGCGACTGCATCTTCGCAAGATGCGACTCTCTCTTCACCGGAAACATCTACATAAAGGAGGTCTTCTAGCTCGTCATCAACTAAGTTATTGAAGGTCGCAGCAGACGACTCACGCCACCGAAGAGCGTCCTCAACATCCCATAGGGGGCTAGCTACGTCCAGAAGTATACCATCCAAGTTGTCAGAATTCGGAGGCTCTTCTTGAGGTTCGACGTCTGCTTCCTGAGCAGAGTTGAACTTCGTCTCTTTTACTTGTCCAGATGTAGCGTCGATGAGCTCTACTAAAGGGATCACTATCGAAGCTATAGGACGCGTCTCTTCGGTGGTGGTCTCTTTGGTGGTGTGCGTCATCTTAAGCTCTGCCAAGTCAACTACAGGAGAAGCTTCTGAAAGATTTACAAATAGCGGCTTTTTCTGTACTGATCGCTCGTTTTGTAAGATAACAGATAAAGACGAACCTCTCGAAAGTGCAACGTTCTGTCGCCTCTTGTCACTGCCGTGCCCAGTAATCCCACCCGGTGGAGCTAAGTTGCAAAAGATGACGACTTGTCGCTCTATACCTTGCGCGGCATCGACTGTTAGTCGTTCAACTTGCGACAGAAGCGGGTCTTTGCCCCAACTATCGCTGAATTTGTAAGTATTCAAAATACAAATCTGCGAAATAGGAACGCCGAGCGCTACACAGTGGCTCACTACCTTTCGCGCCGCCTCCAGCGCAGACAGTGAGTCATTGGCCGGATGCGGTACGAAGTCGCTTGCAATGGGGATCCGCCCCCACGGGGCAGAGAACGCAAACTGCGCCTCCGCGGGAGCGGAATCACCTGACAGAAGACGCCCCTGGTACATTTCTTGACTCAAGAATCTTGCTACATCTGGGTGTAGTCGGTACTGCGTGTTCAGAAAGGTAGAACCTTCGGGACAAGATGCGCACAGACGCTCCATCAACGACACACACAATGAGGAGACGTCTTCCTTCTCATACATCTCATCACCAGGAACAAGACAAAGGTCGTCAACACCTGGCTCCCAATTGAGAGTGGAAGAACTGGGCTCGGGCGCTTTCCATCTCGTCAACGGACGAGTTGCCAAAACCGTTGGCGGAAGCTGACACGGATCTCCAACTAGTGTAACAGAACGGGCGAACGCTAAACCACACATCATGACGTTCTCTGCGGTCCGGGCTGCTTCGTCAATGATCGTGTGATCGGGGACGAACAGCGCAGCTTCGTGCGCGTTGCTAAGGGTGCTGCAGACCACACCTCCATCACGGCGGAC